AAATAACAATGGACTAGGCTGAGAGGCCTGAAGGTGAGACCTTGGATACAGCTTCATCCATCTCTTCCAGTGACTAGAACACTTGTATTCTTATAAACTTTATTTACAAACTTGGGCAGCAAGGAAGAGGATTCGGCCACAAGCTGTAAGTTGCTGACTTTCTCCCATCAAAAGAATCCTGGGTAGTTACTGAATCCCCAGTGGGCGTGACCAGAAAATGGGCTATGTGACTGGAGAGGAGGAATTTGGAATGTTTCAGAAGTTTCAGTTGTGTGAAAGGAATGTTGGTATCACCGTGTTTCAAGTAACTGAATCTGTTATAAACAATTGAGAGTGGCCATGTTCCAATAAAACTTTATTTATACCAATAACCAGCAGTCTGAATTTGGTCTGTAGGCCAAACCTTGCTCAACACTATTCTAAGATCTATAAACAGGATTATAATGAAGCAGGAATCACTTAAAAATCAACTATTAAAATTCGTCAAACACCAAAGCTCAATTTATAGCATACCAAGATCCTCTGACTCTTCCCGTATGGGAATGGGAGGAGAGGCTTGGCACTTTCCTATATGCTGACAATTACATACATGTATATAACACATTTTGGTAATTTTGACACATATCCCCCCCTTTCCTTCCTTTCCCCTCCCTTACCAAATCTCTTCATACATGAAAAGTTTATTTCAGACAACTAATAGGATCCCTTTAAGCTAGACACAGATCTTGAACATGGAGGATCAATTGTTCATTCTTTTGGGGCAAATGTCTTGGCGGTATACCAAACATGGTCTGTATCTATAGCAGATAAAAAAGAGTCTGCAAGCAGATGGCCCACACAGCCCAGCTAAGCCACACAATATCCCAAAGTTTCAGTATCTTACCTAAGACAGGATCTCATATAGCTCAGGCTGGCCCCCCCAAATTCCCATGTAGACAAAAGTGACTCTGAACTTCTGATATCCCTCCCTCCACCCACCAGAGCTGCCTACCTGTCAATGTCACCAGCAATGGCAAATTCAAGGAGAGGTGGGGGTCATCAGGATGTCTCTCCAGATTCTCAGGACTAGCACTATATCACTCCCTTGCTAACACCACCCTGCCACTTAGTTGCTAGTGTGTAAAATCCCAAGCCAAAGAAACAGTGAGGTTGACAAACTTGAGACTCAAAAAACAAACAAACACACCAGTTATCTACTTTAGAATATACTTATTATCACCGTATTTGTCAAAACTAGGGAGAGGCTACTGGTATCTTCTGTTAAAAGCTTATATTATGTGTGCTAGTGATCTTTAAGGGTCAAACTGAAATAGCCTATCATAGCCTGACAAAAGTTTTAATCAAATAATTCCCTCCTCTCCTCTCCTCTCCTCTCCTCTCCTCTCCTCTCCTCTCCTCTCCTCTCCTCTCCTCTCCTCCCTTTCCCTGCCCTCCCCTCCCTTCCCCTCCCCTCCTTTCGTCCTCCCTCCCTCCCTAGCAGGAGGTCCTAAGCTATATAATTAAGCTACCTAAGCATGAGTCCATGAGGGAGCCAGGCATCAAGTCAGGGAGTGACTCAGCAAGCAGTGTTCTTTCATGGTTCCTCCATCCAGGTTCCTGCCTCCACTTCCCTCAATGATAGATTGGATTCTGAGCTGGAAGTGTAAGCCAAATAAATTCTTTCCTTCCCTAAGTTGCCTTTGGTCAGAGTGCAACTTATAACCAAAACAGCAACAGAAGAAAATTAAAACACTATGTAAGTAAAATTGTACTGAAGTAGGTTTATCTAACGTGAAACATCAACGGGACCAGGAAACCCTTTCTCAGTAGACCTCATCACAGGATGGTCCCGAATACCTCAATCGCACACACTCTAGCTCCAAAACTACTTTTACTGGCCTGTCAACGTGGCGGGCGGGAGGAAAGCATGTAAGACTTGCTGATGACAGTGTTTGCTGGCGTGAGGGGAAAGATAATGATTATTTCAGTAAGACTCATCTCGAAAAGTGAAGAACTGGAATAAATAACTCCTCTAGGCTCTAAGAGATGCAATGTCCTGCAATGTCAAGCACATAGCTGAAATTCCAACACAAGACTGGTGTGTGTGTGTGTATAAATACACTTGTGTGTATGAGAGCACACATGTGCATGTGGAGGAGGCCAGCGAATACCCTCAACTGTTGTTCCTCAAACACCATCCACCTTGTTTGTTTTTGTTTGACACAGGGTCGCCCACTGGTCTAGAGCTCAGCAAGTAGGCTTAGCCTGCAGCCAGTGCCTCCAGTGCTGGGATTATAACAAGCACACCAGCTAAACCTGGATCTTTTTTTAACATGGTTTCTTGGGATTGAATACAGGTCCTCAGGTACTCTTGTAATCAATTTCCTGGTTTCCCTTTATATTACACACACACAGACACACACACACACACACACACACACACACACACACAGATAAAAGACTAAGATCAGGTGTATTTTCTCTAGAATATTGAGGAAGCCTAAACTCTGAGTTATTTAGCAACACATGATAAAGACAACTGGTAAAACCACAAGTCTATAAATATATAACTCATGTGTTTGTCTTGCCTGTTAAAAAAGTTTGATAAACTGTATTTAGAGGAAAACACCTGCTAAGTTGTTGTCCTTTCCCAACAAACGTATACGAGCTACATGTAGAATTAGAACCTTTAAAACAGCATCTACCACAAGCCACAGCACACTTACACAACACTAACATTCCGTGCTTTTCTGTTCTCTCTGGTGGTAACTGATCTCTGGAACTGATAGACCATACAGGTCAAGTCAATGAGTCATTTGTCTTGTGTGCTTGGGTACCTAGTGTTTGTTGTTGGACAGTGGCACACAAAACGGAGCTTCGCAGTTTTAATAAATTACATTAAAGATGGCATTTTATTTAGACATGTGAAAAGCCAGTGCCTAGTAACACTGACTTTTTACATGGCTGCCGGGGATTCAAACTGAGGTCCTCGAGGTTGCATGGAAGCACTTTACCAACTGAGCCACTCCCCCAAGATTACTGCTGATAAATCTGGAAGAGATATATTAAAAGCACATAGTGTGACTATTCTGATCCTAAGAACTGAAAAAGAACACTGGAGCTCCTGAGCTGCAGCAACCTCCTCTGCATAGACACACACATTAGAACTAAGCTTCTGTGGAGCGTGTGGCTTCCCGTGTCTGTACTTTAGCTGCCCGAACTGAGCCTACAGCTCCATGTGTTCTAACTGAGGGCATATCTTTGACTAGGCTGCAAGCAGAGCAGCAGCTCTCCTACAGCACCCCAGCGTGCACCTACTGCAAGAGTCGCAAACACTAGGCCCACTGAAGACCGGTTTGATGGCTCCATTTCCCCTTTGACAACTAACAAGAGCTTACCCTCTGGAAAACCAGGTCATTCTGGATCCTCAGTGACCACAGCACATCCTGGAAGGCAGAATCTCTAAGACACTGTGACCCAAATTCCCCTTGCAATGGTTATTTTCTAAGTGTCTGTATGTGCATTCTGGCACCATCTGGTCAGACGAGATGGCTCAGAGAGCACAGGCATTTGCCATACAAGCCTGATGGCCTGAGTTCCATCTCTGTGTGGAGGAAGGAGGGGACTGAGTCCTAAAGGCTGTCCTCTGGGCTCCACTGTGTGCAGTAGTGCATGCACCCAGATACATGAATGGAGATGCACACATGATAATAATAATAAGAATAAAGAATAATACAGAAAAAATACATTGCAAAGTTATAAACTAAATGCTAATTGTGTATATTGCACAGAGGACACTTTTATGTGATTTTTCCCATCTGTTTTCCTGCCAATGCCTTCAATTTCTTTTTGTAAATTAAGCATAACTTTTACTAAAAAAGTAAGATAACTTTCACATACATTATTTTATATATCTAAAATTATATATTATCATATATATTACATATTTTATACATGTTATATATTACACACACACACACACACACACACAAATATAAACAGTGTCTCATGTAGCCAGGTCAGCCTCAAACATCCTAGATAGATGAGGATGAGCCTGCACATCTGATCTTCCTGCCACTAGCACCACAATGTTGGGGTTTCAGGCATGTGCCACCATGTCCAGATCCAACCTCGCATGTTAGGCAAGCTAAGCTCTAGTTCCAGCCCTCGTGTGTTGTTTTCAAAAGCATAAGGGACCTGAAAATGAGCAATGAGTAGAAGATTTTCTTTTCAGAGTTGAGCACAGTTAAAGACAAAAGCAATGAAGTCTGGGAAATCAAACATTAATGGTTCAGGGCAGTTCATTAGCTCAACACTGACCTTCACGGCATCCGAAGCATCCTCCTCCCCACTGTACCTAATTACAGCTTGTTTAAGGACAGATAATGAAAACGTTTGTCTGTACTCCCTGAGCACACTCCTGTGAGCACAGTCTAGAAATATGTTGACAGAGTGGAGACTGGCTGCGAATACAAGCTGGAGAGCTAAGGTTCATGAGTGGCATGTCTGGGGTGTCTGTGTGTACAGGAGCAGAGAGTCCCACAAAGGGTACTGCTTTACCTTTCTAAAACTATAGCTATGAGCTAGGAGTTGGCTCCGTGAGCAAAAGAGCTTGCTGGACAAGTGTAAGGACCTGAGTTCAGATCCCCTGAATCCACATAAAGCCAGATCCAGCAGCATGTATAGAGAATCCCACAGAGATGAAAGGCAGGGACAAGATGATCCCTCAGAAGTTCATGAGGCAGCTAGCCTGGCAAGCAGCTGCCAACAAGAGATTTTGTTGTAGACAAGGTAAAAATGTAAGACCTCACCCCTGAGGTTATCCACTGACTTCTGGCCCATGCATACCCATACTCACATATAGAAATACACATAAGAAAACAAGGCACATACAAAAAGAACTGTAACTGCTGCCCAGGAAAACATAGCAAGCCCAGGTGTGGGAACTTCTGGGGTCCCTCCAAAGCTTAGGCATGCTCAAGGGAGCAACCCATACCCCTTTCCCATGTCCCCTCACTCACCATAGGCTGTCATGACACCAGCGTAAGGTCCATCCACCACATTCCTGTTTTCTTCTGCCAGTGCCTTAATGTACCTTTTGCTGAGGTCAAGGATCTGCTCCCGCAACATGGAGCTGCTCTCGGGCTGAGTTCGCTGCTGGATGGTGAAGTGCAGAAGCATCATCCCCCATATGAAGCCAAAAGTCACGAGGAAAAAGCCCAGCTTCTGAGAGGACAACTTCCAGGGAGAAAAGAAAGCCATCTCTCTCTAGCAATGTACCATTCCCTTGGCTCTCAACAAGCTGAAGGGGAAGGCAAGTTCATGGTGCAGGCTGGGGCGGAGAGTGCGTGGCTCTCACTCTGGCTCCTGAGTCAGCTGATCTCCTTGCCTGGCTTCCATTCCGCTGTGGAGGAGGAGGAGGAGGACAGTTAGCAATGTGGTCGAAACAAAACACAACAATCAGGATTGTAATTGTACTGAGGTAGCTCTCTCCATGAAGTGCCCGCTTACGTCTCTGCTTAATGTGCTGAGCCAACACTTTCGGATGACGTTTGGGACCTGCGAGCCCAGACGGCAACATAAAGCTGTACAAACACACTGAGGGAAATAGGCATCTGAGTGTGTGGACACAGGTATACTAGGGCTGTTCCCCTTCTAGACCTAGTTCAAAACAGGAAGCATGTTTTGCAAGGTACAGAGGAGATGGAAGGATATGTCGCTGAATGTCAGCAAAAAGCCGTGTGTGTGTGTGTGTGTGTGTGTGTGTGTGTGTGTGTGTGTGTGAGAGAGAGAGAGAGAGAGAGAGAGAGAGAGAGAGAGAGAGAGAAACAGAGTCCTATGAAGACTTTGTACTTGATGCTTGTGTAACTGGAGCTTAGAAAGTCACTATGCACTTGGAGCAAAGTTTGTGCGTACAGCTTCAGAGGTGTTCAAGAAAGAGGACATGTCCTCAGAGAGTGCTAAGAAGGATGAGGGGGATGGTTCTGTGTTTATTTAAGCATGGCTGGATTTCACCATCATTGTTACAGGGTAAATGACTCTGCCAGGGTACCATTCCAAGCACCTAGAGAGAAAAATGCCAGAGGCACAGCTGGTATCCTTTTGTTGTAGCTTTATGTTGGAGGTGTCTGAGCTCAAAACCAGAGTGCATGCTCAGTATCTTTTCTATCACCAAGCTTCACCCCCCAGCCACTTGCCTTAGCTATCTGGAGCAAAAGTTGCACCTCACAGGTTCACATGCCTGCTGCACAGGAAACCCACGACACCCGGGTGCCTGCTTCTCCGTGGTTCTCACTTTCACTGCCGTCATGAGGCAACACGGAAAGTTCTAGGGCAGAGTTTCAATGCGAAGGTATTCATCTCCCACTGGATAACAGTGAATAGGCCCAGCGCTCCCTATACTGACTGGGGTTTCTTAGCGAGGAGGGCCCGAGGAGAAGTTGCAGATGGGCTGAAGGGTATGCACAAAGAAAATCAAGACCCTCCCTGGGGATATAGTGCAGTCTGTATAATACTTCCTAGTATATGTAAAGCCCCAGAATTCCCATTAGTAGGTGGGGTCAGGAGGATCAGGAATTCAAGGGTATCTTTGGTTACATGGGGAGTTCCAGGTTATTCTGATTTACATGAGATCCTGACCCCACCCCAAAAATGAGAAATCTGCCAGACGCCTCAGTGGGTGAATACCTTAATGTTCTGTGCGAGTGTAGATAGGGCCAGACATGTAGAGCTGGGTAGGCAAGCCACCTGTACCCCAGCACTTTGGAGACTGAGAAAAGGGATCCTCAAGCAAGCTGGTTAGCGACGACTAAACAGATTGGCCGGCTGAGTTCAACTGAGAGACTCTGCCACAATAAATCTAGTGGAGGATGACATCAACCTTGGGTCTTCACATGCACCTGCATACATGTATGCCCATACATATTTGAACACACATGCCCTACACACACATGACACACACATATAAAATAAGTAGAAAGAAACAAAGAAATAAACAAAGAAAGAAAGACAGAAGGAAATTAAGAAACAAACAGGCAGACAATGATGAAAAGTAGTCTGATGGCCTCTTCTGCCCTCCAAGGGCACCAGGCATACATATGATGCACAGACAAACAGACAGGCAAAACACCCATACGCATTAAAAACTCCAATGGCTAGCTACATGGTCATGTCTTGGGGGAATGACGGCACTGTATCAAGGCCTTCCACATGGTGACCAACAGAATGGGATCCTCCCATCATTCCTTTTTGCATGTGGCTTACAAGTACATACACACTGAGAACTTGCTGCCCCAGGCCCTGGGGACAAAGTAGTGAACAAGATGGAGCTCCCAGCTTCATGGGGTAATACTTTGAAAACCATTCCCCCAGTATATAAAACAACATTTCCTTCCAGATAACCTACACTCATATTCACCACAAACCTGAGGGGACTTTCCCAGGACATGTTAACTGGATGCCATACCCAAGAAGGGGCCTTCTGGTAATTTTCTTTGACTATTTTAGGACAGATCTTGAACTGATGACACAGTTACCCCTAACCTTACAGGCAGGAAGTCCCACCCACTCTCCTTTCTCACTTGAGCCTACTGGAGAGGTTGATGAAGACCATAACAGGGTTTAAATCACAGGAAAGGCAAGAGCAGGAACTACAGCAAAGCCTAGGGCTCTGATAGAAGGTCGAAGGCTTCTGACCCTTTGCTTTGGAAAGATCAGAACCACCCAGATGGTGTGTTCTAGGGGTTTAATGAACATGTATGCCCTACACGCATATGATACACATACACATCAAATAAGTAAAAAGAAAGAAAGAAACAAGCAAAGAGAAACAGAAGAAAAGACTAAGACAGTCTATTTGAAATTATTCTGGGTCAACGAGAGGCTTCTTTTCACTGTCAACTGGGCAGGATGCACAATCGCCTAGGAGCCGGGCCTCAGGAGGATGGTCTCATACACTGATCAATGTGAGAAGACTCTTCTTAACTGTGGCCGAACCCATTCCCTGCACTGTACAAAACAGTGGAAGTACGCTGGCATCCATTGCTCTCTGTCCCCAACTGTGGACGAGACTGTGACTCACTGCTTTAGGTTTCTGCCACCCTGACCTCCCCACCATGACAGACAGTGAGCCAAGCTTTGGTGAGCCAAGGAAAAAAAACTCAAGACACTTAGAGAGGTACATATTTGGAGTCCAAAGCCTTAGCTCAAGGAAATTCAGAGCACTTGAAGGCTCTAATCATAAGCAACTCAGAACAGTCTTTGCTCTCATAGAATGCAAAGTGTGCAATAACAGACACTCTGTCAGCACACACAGAGAATCATGCTAGAATTCACCATCATGATTCCCATTAGGAAGACAGAAGTTCTGATTTCAGGGGTCTCACCTAAGAGACATGCTCATATCTCAGGGTAATAGTAGGATAAATAGAGGCCTTAGAAGATCACCCTCAATCTTGGTCCCATGGGAGGACTTGATGATCAGCAGTAACAAACATGCAATAAAAAGACCTCAGACCAACAATAATCAGAAAAAGAGAGCCCCCTCAAAATCTGAAAGTGGAGGTGGAACTCTGTTTACGGTAGCAAATAGGCCTCTTGGGTCTACAGCAGTCTCTGTCCCCATCTCCCATGGTCCAGAAATGACAACACTGTATCATCATGAAGGGCTGACTAGCAACAGAACATTCATGCCACCTCCAGTTTCCCAGACATGGCCACTCTTAGCATCTCAGCATCAACCCCATAGTCTTGCTCCAGATGGCTCCTGGCACACCTGCCTGGCAGAGGCTACTTGAGTAAAGACATTTCAGAAACTGCCCAGCCCACAAAAGTGAAAATCACACTGATCAAGCAAGTCCTTCAAACTTGTTTCAGTCCCTGGCCCTAGATAACGTGGTTAAAGCTAGAGATACGCATTCATTCAGCAGTGAAGTCAACACCAACCCAGAGCCCCGCCAGTCAACATCACACACCACACACAACATCATACAATTTGCATGCGACCACCTGCTCTAACTTAGTCAAGTTCATGTTTCTGTCAGAACTGTGTTACTACCTGAAACGCTTCCTATCTTTAACCTTGGCTAAGAGACCTGCCTTTATCTTCATTCTCTCCAATAACATTCAGGATTTCTGAAACCATCTTCACTTGCCTATGTTAGCTTTGAAACCCATACCCACATCTCCAGTGTCTTGACTTGACCTCACCTCCTAAAGAAATCCTCCCAGGTCCCCAGAGTAGCAGAACCCATCCTCCTTGGATTACAAAGGGAAATTCTTGGGGATCTTATCTACTGTTCAACAAGACAGTCTTGCTTCAACTTTCCTACAGGCTCTATGAGGTTCTAAAGATAAGGAATTCTGGGGCTGGGGAGATGGCTCAGATAGTTTTGCAAACATTAGGATCTATATTTGATTCCCAGATCCCGCAGTAAAATGTCAGGAGCAGTGGTACATGTGTTGATTCCAGCACAGGGCTCACTTCCCAGACAGCCTAGCCAAAAGGCTAAGCTCTGGGAAAATGAGAGCTCCTATCTCAAAAAAAGTAGGAAGCAAAGGAGATAGATGGTCAAACAGTAAAGGTGCTTGCTTTACAATCATGTCAACCTGGATTTGATCTCCAGAACTCATGTAAAGGTGGAAGCAGAGATTCAGTTCTACACAGTTATCCTTTGACCTCCACATGTGTGCTGTGGTATACGTGTGTGCACATATAGTAATAAAGAAGTTTATGATAAGATGGACAGCACCAAGGACAACATCTAAGGCTGACCTCTGGTGCACAGGTGTGCATGCACGTGCGCAGACACACACACACACACACACACACACACACACACACAGCATATATAAACTATAGAACAGAGACTGAACAAGGAAAGGAACCATCTATGGCAGCTATAAGCCTACAGTCATACAGCTTAAACACAGCATGTAATCGAAAGCTGATTTGTAGCTTTATTCATCGTATGGCTAAAATGCAGAACATTCTAAAACCACTCAACGCTGTAAAACTTGGGTGACTAGGGCTGAGTCTAAAGAACCAAGCCTCTGATTTTCACACTGTGTTCCAAACGAGTTTCCAAAGATTCTGGAGAATTCACAAATGTTTCATATTTTGTTTAACATCGATTTTCAGGGCTAGAGATGGCTCAGTGGGTAAAGGTGCTTGCCAAGGCTAGTAACTGGAGTTTGATTGCCAGGATCCATAGAGTGGAATAAGAGACCCAACTCCAGCATATTTTCCTCTGCCTGCCACATATTCCCCCCAAAACCCACAAATAAATGTAACTTAAAACTAAAATACAATGTTTTCAAAGATCCTGATACCTGCTGTCTCCCCTGCTTTCTCTGACTCTGTCTAGCCATTCACATCATTCTCATCATGGACCTCCACTTACAAAG